AATTTGATCTGGACAAACAAACGGACAAGAAAGCGAGTTAATAAAAACGTGTTAATAATCACTGAAGAGAGTAAAGAAATCAGCTTGCAACTTTTCTCTTTGCATAATTTTTCAGAAAAACTGATATAATTAGCAAAATGCTTTTAGTTCAAATGGATATTTTCAGGAGAAAATTCCGGAGCAATGACAATAAGTGATTCTTAGATTTTTCTTCAAATTATTTGTTTGAGGCTGAACATGTTTTGAACATCAAGGCAAAAACAAAACATTCAAAACAAGGATTGTTAAAAAATTCAACCACAGTCAAAACAACTATTTAGTGACATCAGTTGCTAAAATAAATTTTTCCCAACAATATTTCACAGTATTGCAACTTTAAAAAGGGGGATATTCCTTGGGATAGGCTTTTTTCAAATTGTTCAAAATCATTTATTTTAAAAATTTATAAATAGTTGACATCTACTGATCAAATGAAAACAGTGGGGTTTTGCCATGCTTCATTATCCTATTTTAGCACAGTAATATTCTTCATTAGTTGCAAAACTTTCAACTACTGCAATGTAGACCTTCGATGATGGATGAAATGTGATGGGCAAAACTTCTGGGAACACCCTCATACAGCACTTTAAAGTCAATCTTCTTCATTGGAACCCCATTGTTTGAAACAGCATCAAACAAAAATTGGCAGAACCCTGTTTATTTTTAACTTAGTCTGTTTTGTAACTTTTCCAAAAGATAATTCCAAAATCCTTGTTGACATACAATCATCTGAGTATCCATGGCGCATTTTCCCCGATTATCTTTCATTACAGTTTGGAGTTAATCTGTTGACTGATTTCCAAAATGCCTGGTTTGATGCCACAAAGAAGAGCTCATCACAGAAATATGCAACCAACGTCACAAAAAATCAGACCATATCATCGTTCATTTGCTGCTTGTTTTATTCATAAGACGCGGTCATTCATCTGAGGAAAATTATCCAATTTACTAATGGAATTGGGCAATGATACGTCCCGACCACTACTAAATAAGGCAATGGAAATTCCGGTCACATGAGGATGTGGCCATGCCAAAACCGCTGGTGCTTCCAACTCCTGCTGATTTACGCCCAGGTTTTTTTTTCAGTTCAATCGACTTGCACACTTGTTCGCACATTCATCTTAGTCAAAAACTTCCCTTTTCGGAGGGGGGGGGGTGTCAGAATAAGGTAAGAAATGCTCCCAGCCTGTCTATAGCAAGCACGGAAAAGTGTGATTTGTGGAAGATAGTCCTCCTATTTTTTTTCTTGGGGTTGGGGTGGAAAAGGGGGTAAATGTTCAGTTGACGAAAGAATCGCCTGGCTTTGTTGTCCCCCCTCCTCTTCCACTTGGTGTTGACTTCTGTTCTCGTTAAACCCCGAGGAAATGCAGGCGCTTTGTTTCCGTTTTGTGTCCCCGCCAGGTTTCAGGAAATGCTGCACCGGTAAGGCTAAAGGGGACTCGGGTATTTTCCACCTGACGGGGGACAAGCGAAGAAAACGCTTTTCCGCGGAATTTTTTTCAACGTGACCCCGCCCTCTAATAATTCTTGAGGAAAACCAACGAGATGCGAACCCTGAGGGATTGAGAACAATAGATCAAATGCATTTTTGCCACAATTTTGGTATATGCAGTGAAATAAAAACTATCTTTGGACTCGGTATTACAGAGCACTGGATTTTTGCAAAAAAATAATCACTGTCAGAAAAGGATGCAACTTGACAGTTCGAAAATTCGAAAACAAAAAAGTTCGAAAATAAGTGTCCAAGAAGACTTGAATTCTATCAGGAGAATGTTTAAATCCCCTATGTTACATGAAAAAAATCATCCTTCTCTTGTTGAACATCAAATAATGAAAATCGGATTTAAAAATTGAAAGGGTTTGATCTTTGAATGGACACATTTCATAGCTCCTAGACACCAATGGAAAACTACTTGATTGGTTGCCATGTTCATAAAAAATTAGGAAAACAATCACCAAAAAAATCGAATAGAACTTTTTCCTTGACTCCAAGCTACAGAAAAAAGTTAACAGAATAAAACCACGCATGATTGATCTTTTGCCATCAGAAGGAGCTCAAGAAGCAAAGAATGAGAATAAGTCTTGCCATACAGTTCACACATGATGGAGAAAAAAACATAAAATCAGCTTTTTCTGATCATGAATTGAGGTTTTTTTAATGTACGTTCAATATTTGTGAATGTAAATAGCTAAATTTGTTCAAAAGATATCAAAATAATGAAGCAATTTTTCTGGAATGAATGAACAGAACACTTTATTTGCCGCTTTTCAGCATTCACAAGGTTCAATCAAGATTTCCACATAGAAACCCCCCTCCCCACCCAACCCAAATCCACTCAAATACATTTAATCCATTTGTGCTCTGTTTCCTGCTCTGAAATTTTTCTAGATATGTTGGACATTGTGTCATTGTCCAGATGTTGGGGGCAGATTTTCCCCAGTTCTATACATGCCCCAAAGTTGCATCATGCGTATTTTGGGGGTATCCCGGTATTTAAAAGAAAAAATAACGGATTATTGCTGGGGAACTTGCATATATACACAAGGTGCTTGTGTTGTTCCGTCATGCGTCCCCAGTCATGCGAAGAACCCGGCGTTGTGGGGGGGGGGGGGGGGGGGAAAAA